GGCCGAGGCCGTGGCGGGGGGGGGATTGCATCATTTAAGTCATCGCTCCTATTTTAAATTCCTTCCATGTAGAACTTGTCAAATACTTGGGGTAGAAAAATGACAGATTCTTAAAGTGGTTCAGGGGCTGTTCGTGTAATAACTGTAATGACAGGCTGCGGTAACAATTCGTCCTAGAGACGATCTCCTAACTAGCTCGCAAATACCAGGACCGTTTCTGAAAACGGCACGAAATCACTTTTAACAGTGGCCTGTGTGGAAAGAAGTATTAGTCACAGTGGTAGCTAGTAACGTAACTTGGATGATTAATGAGTTGCATTCAGGCAAAATTGGCGAAGTTAACTTGGAAGTGAGGGTCTGGGTGTGGCTTGGCGTTGCAGCCAAGCTGTCCTGATGGCTGGCAGCCGCGGAGAGGAAGGTCCTGCTGCTCCTTTGCATTGTCACCGTGCGCTTGGGTGGCTGGCAGTGCCAAGGGGTGCTACGTTTGCTCTGTTAGAGTGGTGTCGGTGTAATGGAAAAGTGCACCGTCCCTCCCTGCCGACATGGGTACTCCGGCCCCTGTGTGCTGAGCCAGCTCAGGAAGTTCATCTGGCCAAAAATTAATAGTTTCTTTTTGCAGTCAGATTTCTGTCTGGCTAAGCTTTCTTGGTCACCATAGGACTGGTCAGTGAGTGTCTTCACAAACTGCTGCAGTGGGGATTGACAGGGCTGTAATTTTTTTTTTCCTTCCCCACAGCTGAATCTGAAAAAGAATACGTGGACACAGTCTTAGCAAAAGACAGTAAGGTTCAAAAGAGTATTTTATCTAAGCTATCATCTCTTTGTACTTAAAGTTGACTTTAAATTGGTCTGGATAAAAATTTTGCATTGTTATTTGGCTATGTGTGCTTCTAGCACTTTATACGCACTTCATAATACAACTATTTTTCAATAGGAGGTCATAACGTACTTTGCAATTTTACTGACATGAATCTATAGTTACTAGTAATGAGTAATGAAATAGGTTGCAGAGGCCAACCCACACATGTTTAAAGAGATTATTGCTGACTATCTCTCCATAAGTGTTCTGGGATGGGATTCCCGAACTGTCATGCATACCACTTGTAAGTGGTACAAGATACTAGATACAAGGCAGGAGCTGCTGTTGGCAGTATCCAGCAGAAGCGGGGGGGAATTTAGGAAACCCTGCTTTAGCACACTTACTATGACTGGAATTCCCAGGCTCTCTCCAGCTGAAATAGCAATAATACAAAATCAACGTACAGGGTGTGACTCAAGAGAATAGTCTGTGTTCAGGAAGAGTATATGCTTAGTTTTCAACAATTAAACTTGTACTTACGTGTTTTTTAATTTGTATCTTTATACACTTGGAAATAAGTTACATTAGACTCTTAAAATCATTTTAACTAATGCTTCTTTACATTGCTGCTAGAAAACTAGTTTAATTCTTCCTGTGTATATAACAGCAAGTACTTGGAATTCATGAGCTTTAACAAATCTCAAATGATCAGTGCTAGAAAAAGTGTATGTCCCAGATTCCCACTCATTTGTTTCTTGTATGGCCAAAAGGATACCGAAAAATTAGGTTGACTTACAGGGAATGCTTATGAAAACCATAACCATCATTTAGGTATGAGAGCTAAGGGATCCGTTCAGAGAGGTCGCAACATTACGAAGTAGCCCCTATAAGGTAACGTGAAACTGCCAGGAATAGCTTTTCTTACCCCAAAAAAATGGCATATTCAAAACAGGGAATGACCCGGTACAAATTACTTTTAATGTGCTCCTGGATTTATCATTGCAAGAAATGTATTCCTATTCACATGGAAAGCATTACATATACCTAGGTACTCTACTATATACTAGCAATGCAGTGACATTTACCTGAAGCAAATAAAAATGTGGCTTGATCTTTCAAAATTCATCTTCAGTCCGTCCTTATTTAGGAAAATGGACTGAGTATTATTTTAGAGGATATATCTTAAAAATTTGGTAATAACGTTCATATATATACCTACCCATAAATGTATCCTTTACAATCTAATTCAAAATGCAGAATTTTTAGGGGTGCAGTCAGACTTTGTGCTGAGGTGACCTGTTCATAGTCACAGAACAAAATCTGAAAAGCTGGGCTGCAGTTACTGCAGTAAAAATGTTTTTAACATGCTCAGTACTCTTAGAAGTTTTTCTTATGCTAATATGTACAAGTCAAAAAGAAGATGACATCACAAGTAGCTGGAGTTCTCATGCCAGTTCTTCTGCTCTTGCAAACATGCTAAAATGTGATCTTGCCTGTTGTGTTGTCGAAGACATCAGCAATCAACACAGAAGATTACTAAAATTTGCTCTAATTGTCTAGAGTAGACAAACAGAAAAACTGAGTGAGGAGTCATTCCCTTCTGCTCTCCTCCTGTTTATTCATCTTGAAATGTTTTAAATAGTGGTGGTCTATCCTGTACACAATCTATTATAAAGTATTATACACTTCAAAGTTCATTACAGGCAGAATGGCAGAGTATTAAGGATTAAAGCAAGCAGCTCCCAGATTTTTTTTCGTCTCTCTGCCTTCCTCGTCCCCCTCTCCCTGCTCGAAATTAGAAACCCATTTGACCAGTTCTATCCTGTATTTACATCATAGGTCTGATGCTTCAGTCATGTGTTTATAGTCATGTACACAGTGGGTGTATCAGGTCTGCGGTCAGTGTCAGGCAAAAGGAACAAGTATGACCATGAAGCTATGAATAATAGCGTTGATGACAGTAGTCGCTAATAGTCTGAATCTTGGGAGATCAGTGGAACAAGCTTTGACTAACTATTTTATACCTCTGTTTTCTCACTTTTTTCAAGGTTCACATGGCTTCTGAAAGGTTATGTATGGAATAGATGCCCTTAGACTGCATTCAGGCTAGCACTAAGTTACAGGTAGCGTTCAGGCTGCCGTAATATTCCCTGTATAATCTTTTCCTTCAAGATAAAGGTGAACTAAAATGTTTTAAATTAGCAATACCGTTACTATTTTTACTGTGGCGCTGAATATAGCCAGGTTGAGTGCTAGCGAACAGGCAGCTAAGCAGGCTGCCTAGAAGGGGCAGCAAAACCGTTCCCATTTCAGCTGAGATTAAGCTAGTGTAGTGGAGCAAATTCATGTACTCTCGCAGTTTACAGTGACTGTTCTGGCATGCATGTTGGAAGAAGGCTAGGAGGAATACTATGGGGATGATATTGTCCTGAATTACCACAATTAAATTGCTCATTTAAGATGACAGGAAGTCTTTGCCTTAACTCTTTTGGAGGTTGCTGCGCTCAGGACAGAAATGGTAGCGGCTGGTCTGTGTGTGCCCTGTGGCCTGGAACCTCTGGCAAAGATGCACAGTTTGAAGTAGTGCTGTGAGACAGTCGGCATACAGACCAGTCACATCCCACTGCAGTCCTTGAGGAAATGCGCTGTTGACTTTAGCAGGCTTTGGATGGGATGTACGAGGCTGAGCAGATAATCTATAAATCATTCTGGAATAGTTATTTTTACATACAACCTGAGAGGGACTTAAAAACTGAATTGCTGTTATCCCAGCCTCTTAATCTTACTGTTGCTATATTTTATTAAATACGTCTTTAAAAGTAATGGCTAAAACCATAAGAGTTAAGAAACTTTTTTTTTAAATAGCTATTATTAAATGTGAATGATTATCTAAATTATTAATCTTCTTTGGCTTCATTACCTAAATGTATGTGTGCAGTTTCTGCAAGCTAGGATTTTTCTCAGAGCAGGGTTTTGGAGGAGATTGTGTTTCAGGATGATACAAGAATACAAGGACGTTCTTCTCTTACGTAATTTTTGTATTCCAAATTCTTCAATTAATTTGTAACCAGAAAGTGCTGAGGCCCTTAAAATGGAAGAAAAAAGTTTAGCAACTTTACAGGCTCTATTAAAGTCATGAATTCAAAGGGAAAACAAAGCTTTATATGACGTTTTACTTAGATGGATTGTCCATGATTTTTGAGACAGTTGAAAAGGAAAAGTGGTAGAGTACATAGCTGCTTTAGGTCATTTACTGCTGAAATCTGTACGACCGAAAAGCTGTCCCTTGAGAATGAAATGTGGTGCTGAACAGTTCTAACAGTCACTTCTGCTCATACTTCAATGTTAATATTTTCATTTCCTAAACTTGGCTTTGGCCTATTGTAACTCCGTGAAGGGTTTTGTTCCTGGCAGCTCCACTGGGACACCAACCAGGCAATGAATTTGCTTTTCCTGTGGTCTGAGAGAGGCAGAAACTTTAAGCTTACTTGCCGCTCATGGCTGCTCGGCTGGTTTCCATAGCCTTTTTCTCTGATTGCTTTAGTGTCGTCTTCTCCTAGAGTCTATTTTTTTCATTTGATTTTCACATTATTTGTAATAGCTTCTCTTTCGTGGCTGCTTTCAGGTTCTACCCATCTCCTGGGTGCTGAGTACTCATGCTCAAGTGTTCTCTGGTGTCTTTTCTTTCCAGTTGCTGTGCAATACCCTAATTTCAGGGTTTTCTCCTTCCTGACATTCCATTGCTGTGTGGTTTTCTCTGCAGAGGGGAATACTACTCTATTTCCCCTACTACAACTAATATTTTTTATTTTAAATTTTAAAATATATGGAATAGGTTCTACCTTATATTAAGTAAGAGAATCTCTGTTCTATACCTGTTCCTTTTGAGGAAATCCTAAGCATAATCTTAGGAGTATAACCTTTAAAGACTAAAGCTGCACTGTAAAATAAATTTATGGTGGGAAATCTACTTTCAAAAAGCACACTGTACAAAAATAAAATGCCAAAATACCAATGTGATAGCTGTTAAATAGTGTTTTATTTGTACTCCATTTCAGAGGAAAATGGCTATGACTTAAGTTTTCAAATTGTGCATTCAGGTAAAAAGTTTAAATCATCATTAGCAAGACTTTTTAATTAAGTCTGAATGAGAGAGATTACTAAATTGTGCACTTTTTCCTACTGAACTGTACTCCATTGAAGTGCCTGGCTGATTTTTTTTCGTTCTGCTTGTATAAGTGAAGAAAGAGCTGAACGTTCATAAGTGTTTATTTGTTGCTAGCATGCACATGATTTATTAGTGCAGCATGAATAGACTTCTGTTTCCTATCTTTTGGCCCTGCTTTCAGTTTCCATTGAAGTCCATGTGTGTCTGAATGAGACCAATAGTAAACAGGAAAGAAGGCTGTGTTAGAACAGCAACACTGTGGGGTCATTTAATTGTGACAGAATTATTTTTTGGAAGGGATGGGAGTGAAATGGATTAGGAGGGGAAAACAACGGAATAGCATAGGAGACTGCCTGCTGAAGGGTTTATTTTTCTTGTATCTTCTTCAAAACATCATCATCCAATTTTTCACTGAATTCTTTAAGTGATTTCTGTTTCCCTTAACCTACTGAGAAATTGGATGCTACTGCAGAATTTGTGATGATTACTTTAGGGAGCAGGTGTAAATAGCTGGTACACCATTTGGAAAGTGATTATGGAAGGTGTCCATCACAAAGAAACCATTGTTTTTGTAAACTTTCCTTTGTACGTAGTGATCCTTGATGTTGTTGGAGACTTTGATTATGCATATATGGTGTGGGCCTCATGAGCTGAGTGCTTAGAATTCTTCTTTAGCATAATTTAATCTGTTGATAATTTCTGAGTAGCTTTGAAAGATACATACCTTAGAGTGTATTTGAAAACATTCTCAACACACAAAAATGTAAAGGATGTCTATGCCTCATGTAGAACAGCTTGATTTAAATATTTCCCTATTTCAATGTACAGAAACATGGAAAGAGCAACAATTATTTTAAGCATTGCTTTAAACCAATTTCGTGTGTGTGTGTGTATATATATATATATATATCAATAAAAACTTGGCTCCAGCAAAGATTATAGCCATATATTTTAAGTTAATCCTGTATATAGTCCCCATTTGAAATCACTGGAGGTACAGACATAATTAAGTGTGCATGAAACTGGCTTTCTGAATTAAGGATGTCGTGTAAAATATTTGTTTTTGAAGAAATAACCTGGATGATTTCTTTCTTCTAGAAAGCCTCAAAAGAAAAATTGCCTACAAAAGATTTATACAACTCTCTTGTGTTAGACTGTCCTCTGCTTGTTCATTCTTTACTGCTATGCTTCATCTTCGTGTACTCGCTTAATCTACCAATCAGTAGTTCTGGATGCTAATTTATATCCAGACCCATTATAAATGGAAATACTTCATCTCTTTTGACATGAGCGGTTTGATAATTTTTAAGGTCCTGCACTTTGTTTCCAACAGGAAGAAAAACTGATGCTGAATAGGGTACTTCTGTACTAGCTATTTATTTACCAAGAAGGTACACAAAGTCTGGTTTTCCTGAACTCAGGAGAAAAGAGTTCCTCTGCTGCTACTTCCCAGTATCTTTCAGACAGCTATTTAAATTGGCAGTTTTTAGGGAGTTTGTGTACTCTTTTTTTTTTTTACTTTCTATAGCAGTTTCTTGCTGCTTTCTTTACAATCTTCTGTGTAGTGTTTCTGCCCTTTTCTCTGTCATTTCCCTTGTACCCATCAAGAGAGTGCACCCCCTGCATCTTTAGTCAAACCTTAGGGAGAGCCTAACAAATCATGTGACTTCAATGTTTTATTTGGTCTGTAATTTTTGTGGCAGCATCTATTGTTTAAGTATTCCATAAAATACTTTTTATTTATCCGAATAATTGGAATTTAAAGGAGATTTTTACCTCACCGTTATCGTAACACTAACAAAGGTATATTGGAAATTGGTAGAATCATAAAATTTTACTAAAGATATATTCCAATGATGAATACAAACATTAGTAATT